CACTTTCCAGCAGAGATTGTCCCAGACATGTGAGGCGATAGTGCTCCATTTGCACCCCCTGTGTGATGTTCCTAGTGGCTTGTCTCGCCGCTGGGCCACTCAGTCTTACCCAGCCTGAGCTCCATAACCAAGGTGAATGCGCTAAAGCCCACCAGCTGGTGTCACTGTTCACACCTGCAGCTGTTCACAGTGACTTTATCATGTCTTCATGTAGGTGTGCAATCAAAGTTCCACCTTACAAATGTATTATGCGTGAAACAAAAAAAATCACATACTGCCATTAAAAATGTTCTGTTGTTGTTAATTTAATCAAAGTACTAATTTCAAAGAGGTGTTATACAGACTTCACCAGCATGGGGGCGCTGTTGCCTCATATCTGCTGTGTGGCATTTTCATGTTCCTCCAGTGTTCCTCCTGACGGCCAGCAGGTAACTACGAGTGTTTGGCGGGTGGCTGATGCAGCTGTCTGTACTGGCTTGTGTGGCTTAGTGGGCTAAGTGTCTGTGCTTGTGATCAGAAGGTCATGGGTTCAAGGCCAGCCTTGGCCTGCCTGTGGGTTTAGAGGAAAAGATGGGGTTAAGTGTTGTGTATTATTATTATTATTATTATAAGACTTGCTGCTGTCACACTTGTTTAATAATAAGATTGAGGCCCTTTCCTAATTGGCATGGGGGGGGAGACTTGAACCCAGGTCCTGGGAGTGTGACTCAACATTGCTAACCACTACCCTACCAAGCCACCACCCTCCTTTGTTTTGCCTGGATGTTCCTTCCTCACCATTAGTTATGCACCGGTGCCGTTTCAGATAAACTAGGAGACCGAGTTGTTGAGTGTCTGTACTGGCTTGTGTGGCTTAGTGGGCTAAGTGTCTGTGCTGGTGATCAGAAGGTCATGGGTTCAAGCCCAGCCTTGGCCTGCTTGTCCTTTATTTTGATTTCGCCTGGATGTCCTTTCCTCACCATTAGTTATGCACCGGTGCCGTTTCAGCTAAAGTTGGAGACCGAGTTGTTGAGTATCTGTACTGGCTTGTGTGGCTTAGTGGGCTAAGTGGCTGTGCTTGTGATCAGAAGGTCATGGGTTCAAGCCCAGCTGTAGCTTGCCTATTGGTTTATAGGAAAAGATGGGGTTAAGGATTTTGCCTGGATGTTCCTTCCTCACCATTAGTTATGCACTGTTGCCGTTTCAGATAAACTAGGAGACTGAGTTGTTGGGTGTCTGTACTGGCTTGTGTGGCTTAGTGGTCTAAGTGTCTGTGCTTCTGATCAGAAGATCATGGGTTCAGGCCCAGCCTTGGCCTGCCTGTTGGTTTATAGGAAAAGATGGGGTTAAGGGTTGTGTATTATTATTATAAGTCTTGCTGCTCTCACACTTATTTAATAATAAGGTGGGGGCCCTAAGTGTGGCAATTGGCTTTTTCCTAACTGTACATTCTGGGGGGGCCTGAGGGTGGTGGTCATCTGTCTTGGCCTCCACATGTTGTTGGGGGTGGGGGTGGTGGTTGTGCATGGGGGGGAGGCTTGAATCCTAGTCCTGAAGGGGTGAGGGACTGTTGCCAACCCCTACCCCCCCAAGCCCCCCCCCCCCCTTTTTTTTTTTTTTT